GGTGCTTTTCTCCATTGATAATATTTCATAATCACAGTGCTGTGTTTCTTGAGATCATATATTTCAGTCAGTTGCATAAGCAAACTGTCTCTGGTTTGTGATGTCCGCAGCGTTTCTACGCTTGATATAACGCCCTGGTTTCTGCATTGTACAAAGAAATATTCTTCTCTCAAAGCAGATCTACCTCTGTCTTGTTCTTTCATATTGCATGCTGGCTTCCTTGTAGATGTCTGCCTTGTTTCGGCTCCCACACGAGAAGCTCATTGGCTGGAGTAAATAGCGTATGCTGAATCAGTTTGTGTAACAGGATCAGCCTCGTTTTCTTAATTTCAGTATCGTTCTAGGTCATTTGTGTCCGTAAGAGAATAGAGCCATACGTTACTTGGTCCTGTCATTTAGCCCTCACTATGCGTTGAAGCCAACGCTGCTGTAAATTGTTCACTTGTCATTCTTGCCCCTTAGACCAACTTTCTGTGTCGTATAACAACACTGACCTGTCAGAGGCAGATTTTGATGGGAAGAGTAGCACCTTTTTCAGCCCTAATATTGGACATGTTTCTAAGGCCACTGAAGGCTTGGGCGATCCTCCTATTTGACTCGCAGTGGCACTGGTTGTCACCGTTGGTTGTTGTCGGTCGGTTGTGGTTGTCGTTGGTCAGTTGTCACAATGAATGGTTTATTTACTGATCAGCGGTTTTTAGGTGCCGTTACCTATTAGTTGTTTTCATCCTGTAGTATGATTCGAAGTGTAAAAAATTGTTACACTCCATCGATGATGACTCCTTTTAAGAAGATGTATGTTTATTTCGCTAGATATAGTTCCGCCATTGAAGTAACTGTACTTGACTATTGGAAATGCGGCATGTGCATGATCATTTTTGAAAGTCCTTGTTTCATATCATAATGGCACTATTCACTTGGTATGAGAAGCCATTTAAAATAGTAAGAATGTAATTTAGAATGCAATCAACATTACGCTTCCGTGATGAGCGCCATTTGTGGCACCGACATTTTCACGGAGCTTAAGGTGCGGCACAGGTCTCCACTTATGAATCTCTTGTTTTAAAGTGCAGCATGAAGCCTCCTACTTCTCTTCTCACAATGTAGTACTTGTTAATCTACCTCTGATGGACGCAACGTCAGTTACTCAATTTAGTTCACGGCCTTTCGCCTGCGTGTACAACAGTCTCTTAATTGTGCGATCCTTGTCTTTAATTCAGTTTAAGACCTGTTTTGCAGGAAATTAGCAGTCTCGTGGGTATATGCAACTGGCATTACTCTTACATTACTAAGGTTCAAAATAAAATTTTTTTTTTGTTTGAACAGCCACCGTTGCCTTCAGCACAGATTGACCCCATTGATATTTTTAAACAGAAATTGCATGGTATAGAAAATCGCAGAAAATTTTTTGGAAAATATGTTACCGTTCTCAATGTTCATCTTAATCTATATAAAAGTAGCTCTCATTTCATCATCCGGTTGCCGAACAGCCCTGGCGAGAGTTGGTAAATTTGGCCATTGACAGAGCTTTGTAAGAACTGGGATAGCCATATTTGTTATGGAATTAATTGTGAGATAAGAATAAAAGATGCGTCTTTCTGCCGCAGTTGTTCAAATACCATGAAATGGCGACACTTGCAGAAGCAGTGTGGCCTCACGCCAGGCCGAAGCATCTCTGACCAAATCTTTGAGTTACACCAGAGATTGTAGATCAGTCATGGGAGTTCGCTCATTCGGCTTACGTTTTCTTTGTTGACTTGGAGTAAGTCAAAGACAAGATCCCTCGCAACAAACTGTGGACGTGCCTTCCGAGATATAGGATCGATGACCGATTGTCACGAGCCATCAAGTCGTTATATGTTGATAATCAGTGTTGCATTAGAGTAGAGTAAACGGCGTTAAGTCAAAAGATTTCCGTGTCGGCGCTGGTTTCCGCCAAGACTTTTCTTTATCCCTTCTCCTGTTTGCGTTATACCTGACAGAATTGCCAGGTGCTGCCAGAGCGATTAGTGTATCAGTGTTGAAAATGTCGAGACTAGAAGGTTGCAGTTTGCAAGCGGCGTTATTTCCTTGGCATCTTCTGAAACTAATCTCCAGCGCAATCTGAAAAGGTTCACAGCCGAGATAGACGCGGCCGGCATGCGCTAGAGCATATCTAAAGCGAAAAGCCTAGTGCTTTATCATTGTCCTGCCCGTTGTTTTTCTCAGATAAACGAAGAAGCGGTGGAGCAGTTGGAAAGGTTCAAGTACCTCAGAGTCGTGTTTACTAGTGATCGAAAATTTGAGGAACAGATTGACCGGCGGACTGTAGTAGCCAGTGGCGTTCTGCTAAAGTAGTCTTTACCCTTGTGACTATAGCAGAGCGAGTATGAAGACTAATCTCTCGGTGTTCAAGTCGATCTTCGTCTCCATGCTCATTTATAGTCAAGAATCATGGGCTATGGCTGAAAAACTTCGGTCTCCGATGCAAGCGTAGATATTGGTTTT